GTTGGTATGTTTCAATAGTTTCATCATGTTTTGTATTTTTTTCCCTTAATGCTAATGATGTCATTTTTTGCTTACTTTGTGATACATATTTGATATGTTATTGTCTATTTGGATTATTATTTTATTAGTTAGTTTAATAATTGCTTAGTTCTTAATTGCTTATTAAATAATTGTATGTGTAATGTGTTTTTTCGAAGTAAGATTCATAAAGCATAATTATTTTATTAGTTAGGTTAATATTTGCTTAAAGCTTATTAAATAATTGCATGTGTGATATTCTTTCTCAATTTTGTGTTATATCATTGCAATTTTGAAGTGTATATTTTACCTTTTTTGGCTTAATAAGAAGCCAATATATTGAAGGGTCAATGTCACTTCCTATTTGTAATTTTTTAGATAACCATTGCTAGTTTTTTCAAGTTTGACCTTGTTTTTTTTGTCTAATTTTCAGGCTTAGGTGTTAAGTTTTAAGTTGATAATTGATAATAAAATGGGAGGAGGATTCAAATTTTGAAGAAAATAAAATCACTAGCTGTTTTTGGATCTAGGTGGCCGCCTAGACGGCCCAGCACCCCCCCCACTCCCCTCCACCGCCTAGGCGGCTGCATCCTTGAATATTGGTAAGAAAAGATATGAAGACTTATGGCCTCACTAAGGGTACTGCCCTTAATAGAATGATGGACCAGGATTCATGTAGTCGACTCCAATTAGTTGGGAAAACGCTTTAACAATGATGATCAACACTGGTATCAAGGCAACAAGTTAGACCTTCCAATTGCTTTTCTTTTGTTCTCCTTTTTCCTCTACTACGAATCTGTAGCTAAGTTTTTGCAAAATATTGCTTCATTGGTTTCATTTCTTCTTCTTTTAGGAACTAGAAAGTGTGTGATCCTTTTTTTATAGGATCATCACTTTAACCATTTTAATATGTACATTTATATCACTTTAACCATTTTAATAGGTACATTTGTGTGTGTGTGCACGTGTGCATGTGCGCGCGCGCGTGTGAGGCAGAGTTTTTCTTTTTCTACAAGGTTTACCCATTGTTTTTGCCACTAGTGTGACCGTTAATGGCTCTTTTTTGTAAGACTCATTTTATCAATTTGTGGAGAGCTATAGCCATTTGCTGTCCATCTTTTTCTCTCTCTACAGGTTTGGTAAATGGCTATTTGGTGACCCATTCCCCAAAATAGAGAAGGTCCTCATTTCTCATAGCAGCACTTTCTTTTCATGTTAGGGAGGAAACAATCCTAACAAGGACACATGTCAGAAATAGTTGCTGCATCCTCACCTCCATATCTCATGGTAACTTTTTCTTTCATGTCATGGAAATATACTGGGTCTCATAACCTGATCTATAATAGGGGAAAAACAATTTTGATAAGGATGCGGATCAGATTTCTTTACTAGGTCTTATGTAAAGTGTTCCAACTTCCAATTCTGAAACACCAATTGGGTAACTTATTTGCATCAACCGACCAAAAGACAGTGTGATTTACATTGGCCAAACGGAAATACCATCTACACATCAAGAATTTTCTTCACAATTAAATGAGTTTGGAAACTAAGGAAAAAGCTTGGCCCCGAAAAAATTTCTAATGCAATACAATAGAGAAATTTATGTACCGACAGGGGAAAAGATGTGGTATTATTACCACATGGTCCATAATTTGGGACATATTATATTACGGTCTTTTTTTAGTTTTTTTATTCTAAATTTAATCCCTGTTGGAAACGTAACTTTGGAACGGCCCAAAGTACAAAAAGAAATGGTGCATTTGTGCGGTTTGAGAGTCCAACTTTTGAACAGCCTAGTACATGTGTTTGGGCAGTTTGAAAATCCAACTTCAAACCGTCCGAAACACAAAAATATCAATTTTTTTTGTGTTTTGGGCAGTGTGAAAGTTGGGCTTTTCAAACCGCCAAAACACATGTTTCGGGGCAGTTTAAAAGTTGGACCTTTGAACCGCCCAAATGCATCATTTTTTTTTTTGTGTTTCAGACAGGAACGTTACACTCCCAAACAGGGGGTAAAAAAGAGAATAAAGGATCTTAAAAAAAACGTTCGACATCACCATAGTATGTCTGATAAAATGGATCATTAGGTAATACTGCATCTTTTCCCACTGTCTAAACATAAATTTATCTAAAATATTTATCTAAAATAGGTGCTTAAACCAAAATCATGAACCATGAAAACCCTTTAAGTAATGCTATGGCAGGCTCATCCAAATCAGCAAACCAGGGCGAAATGGCATTGGCAAGAATGCATCACAAGTAAGTGCTCATTAAATGAAAATTGTGAGCAGCTTATCGCCACAAGCCCATGAGACCTCACAGAAGACTCTCAGCAAACTGATTTAACCTTGACCCTAAACTCAACCACCTGTTCCAACAACAGAAAAAACATCTATCCTACGGCCCAAAAGCCACCCAACCAAGCCAAACCTATTCCTCACATCCAAAGTAACATTACCTTTGCAGGTTAGCAACTTCTTAACACAAACCAACACTTTAATCATTACCCCCACATGAAACCCCTTTTATAGAAACAAATCAAATACCGTTCCCCTGAAAACCAAACAACCAGATCTGGATGCAGACAAACAACAAGGAATGGAGCACCAGCTATTTTGGGTGACAAAAACATCTACATAGAGCGTGAATCTCCTTTACCACCTTGGTGGGATGCTTCTCGCTAAAAAGAACAGCTCCAAGGGGAATCTCAAAGTGGTCACTCACCAACGCTTATCATTAGGAAAACGATGACGTTCTATTCTCACTACCCTCTGATTCATTCAACCGATACTTCTAAAATATGAGACAGTTCAGGGGAACCACTTTGGAGCTTCTCATTGGACACCTAATCTATCAAACTCTTTGATTCAACCCCAGAAGGTGTGAGTACAGGCTGAAGGTAGCCTGCCACATGGATGGAACTATGATACGAACAGGCAATAGCCATTAAATGTGGATGAAATGTCAAGCATGATTGGAGCTCTATTGGAGGGGATCAATTTAGGTTGTCCGCTACATGGTGGAAGCAAATGAGGCAGTCCCATGGCCTGAACCCATAAAGCTAGTCATCAGAGGTGGGAAGTAATTAATATCTATTGTTGCAACAAGAGAGAACCAGAGAAGCCCACACCGAAATCCCAGAGCCCAACAACCATCTCCAACCACAAGACACCCTATCACCCCAAAACCAAAACACCTCACTTGACATCACAGAAAACCACACTAAATCCCAACTTTCCAACTATTGCTGGCAAAGAGTTATTAGAAAGAAGGGAGATACAGAACAAAAATATCAGCAGAGAAACCAGCAAAGGAGAATGGGAGACTTGCAGCAAACAACGTGGATTCCCCTAGAGGGTGAGCCAGGTCAGCATTAGAGATGGATAGCCAACGCAAAATCACCAACTTCATGGTGGACCCATGGATGCCACAGCACAACAGGGAACAAAATTGTTCGAATCACCGGGTAAAATGTTTGATGGGTGCCAAATAACTAGATTTTTTATTCTAAATCAAGATATGGGTGGAAAAGGGCCAAGCCCCTCTTACAATATAACTTAATCAATATTTTCAACATAAGAAATCCTATGATGAGAAATGAGCCATAGACAGATTCAAGTTAGTTTCGTGTAAGCACGGAGAGTAGAATGCCTTGGCAGATTCTTTGGCTAGGCAGAGTGTGAAAACTGCAAAGACAGGAACTACTGGTCTCCACTCCCTTACCAAGATAAAATGTTGCTACATTACCTCCTACATGTCACTTCAACACGCCAAACAGATTTTATACTTAGATGCTATACCTGTATCAGGTCACTTTAATCAAAAAATAAAATAAAACTAAACACTTATAATTTCCTTTGTTAGCTTTCAGACAGCCTATAAAATTAACTGTAAAGATATAACCAGTATATAATTTACAATAACAAAAGAGAATTAATTTTATAAACCTGTAACACAGCCTTAGGAAAGTACCATGTTGTGTACAGCCCTAGAAATAAATAGATCATATCGACTCTTTGGGCAAATACAATGCCTAAAAACTACTCAAGAAAGTATCCCTGAAACTAACCTGGAAAAAATGAGCTTAGGGTCACGTCAAACCCCATAATAATATTCGTAGATAACAAAATTACACTAGTTGTATACCAATCAAAAAGAAAATATGCCAGTTTTTTCCCCCTTAAAAATGGAATGTTTTAGTTTAGTTTATAAAAAAATTGAGAAAATCATTCTGACATGGTCAGAAGATAGAAATGGAAAACCCCATGAAATACCCTGAAAAAGTAATGACAAGCACTAATCATTCCATAATGAGCACCGACCATTCCAACAAATGTGTTTCTCAAATATTTGGATACTATGGAAATCTTTCTACAGCTAAACTCATGAAGGATGCAAATGAAGGCACAAAAAATGTAAACTTAATGACTAAAACTCCTTTTTTATTAATAAAAATAAAGCCTCTTATTAAAGAAATGAAATGCTGGGTTTTCTTTCGTGGGACTAAATTTCGTTCATTTATGGGCATCTCAGAAAACCTAATTGGATTTACTTCGATACCATTGACTCTGTGACAAAGGAGGACAGACCAAATTGTTGGTGCAAGTAAAAGCCTACAAAAGTACATTAGAGAATACTCAATAGACTACAAGAGTGCAGTTCATCTAGACAAATATATACTTGAATTATCATTGACACATAAAAATTGAGTCAACAGATTAACAAGACAAACCACTAAATGGATATAAGGGTGAAAGTGAAACTCGCACAACCAAGTTAGTTCCCTAGAAGAGGAGACATGTTTTGAACCCCAATAATCCTAAAAACGTGGTTTGGAAGAAACAGCTGCAATCTAAAGAAAAATATATATATTTTCAACACTACAAAAAGTAAATACTCCTTAAAATACAAGCCCTAAACATTTGGGGCATTTCAATTCACAAAAAATGTCCTATATGGAATAACGTGTTTCGATCGCATACCTGAGCTAGTTGCAGTATAGAAAGACAGTTTTGTTGAAATCTTGAAGCCCTAACCAAATTTGGGGGTTCAAATGAACAGTCTGCAATCAAGAACAAGAATGATGAAGAAGCAGACTAAGTTCCAGCAAAGCCTTCCCCAGACTTTCCTACCAAAACCCATCCCTACATCCAAAAAGATTTGCAATCAATAACTTTCTCTATCAAAATACCCCAAATTTCTAAAGCACCATATCCCCACAGACTTTCCTAATAAAACCCATCCCAAAAGATTTGCAATCAATAACTTTCTCTATCAAAATACCCCAAATTTCTAAAGCACCGTATAGATTTTGAAATTGAAGTTACAAATATAAACAAATGCCTCATTAAATATCTTCAAGTTGTACGCTCAATATTTTACTCTAAACTCCATATTTCATTAACAGAGACCTACTGTGAAGCATTATCACTATTGCTCTTAACAACAACAAAAAACCTAGGATCATTTCAAAACTTCAAACAAAATAATTCATATTCAAAACCCATTTATCATGAATTTTTCTGGGCAATTATAATACCAAGAAAAAGATAGATAGAGGTGTACTGCTCGATTGGAGAGTTATGAATGTTCAATTTTTTCTTCAAAATATGGACTACTCTTCCAATCCTCTCATAGGTGTCAATCTACGTGCCAGGAGTGTGTCAAAAATTTCAAAATTTTCATTTGGACTTTAAACCCAGTTAATAGCGTACCTCCAACTGCCTGATTTCATGTTGAATTCATTTTTGAATTTCCCTAATCATGAATAGTCTAAACCAATGTTTTAAAACTCGTGTATTCCCACTCCATATTGTTGATCCAGATGGGGACAGTCCAAATCGGGAATCGGTCAGAAGTCGGAAGTCGGAATCGAACCGATTTTGGAATGGTATGGTTCCCATCACAGTTCCCCCTAAATTCTTCTTTTTTTTTAAAAAAAAAGAAGCTTTTCTAATGTTTTCTTAGTCCCCCGTAAATCTCCTCCCCATAAACCTATATTTTTATTTTCATTTTATTTTATTTATCTTTTAATATTATTCTAGACCACTGATTCGGACCAATTCAGACCGATACGGACTACCGATCTAGCAAGCTGAGACAGATTTGTGAGGTGAATGATCCACTCCACCAATCCAAGTTTAGATACACAAGTCTAAACCAGTGTATCAAAAAGCACTAGGTGGGTCCTAGGCAGCCTGGGGGGTCCAGGCCGCCTAGCGCCTAGGCGGGCGCCAAGAACCTGGGCGGCTGCCCAGTTGAAAAAAAATAAAAATCCCATTGTCCCAATATACCATATTCCAACAATCCAACTTGCAAAAAAAAAAAATAGAAGTCGAGAGGAAAAATTTGATAATCCATATTGTTAAAACATTAAGTTGTAAAACCATACAAGTAATATAAAAGTCAACACCCAACACAACAGAAATATACAAAAATTTAGAAATATACAGTCTAACAAAAGTCAACAGAATCAATACTAAACTATACGGTCTAACAAAGGCAACAGACTCAACACTCAACACTCAGCACCAAGAGGCATGAGTCTTCAATCATCATCATCATCCGAAGAAGAAGAAGAATATCAATAGCGCAAACCTCATCATATGCATCAAAGTCGAGGCCATCATCATCAGAGTCATCTCCCTCTTCAATATAATGTTCAACCCCCTCTGTTTCTTCTGAATCTGCCTCTTCCTCCTCCTCTTCTTCTACCTTCCTCTTACTAGTATGTGTAGTCTATGCAGATGAGGCCCTAGGAGTCTTGGCTATTGTACCCTTCTTTTTGTGCTTCTCTGAGCTCAAATATTGTATAATTTCCTCCTTGGTAGCCTTAGGAACATTTTTACATGGGCCAACATCCCCCGTAATACCGGCAAGGTATTTTTTAAACGGGTAAATGCCTCATTAGTATCATTCCCACAATAATTACATTTAATACGATTTTTATCACTTGAATTCGGGATATAACTATACTTCCAACCCGGATCACCACTCCAATGACTACAAGCTGGAGAAGATACTTCCATAGAACAATGCTTATTTTAATCATTTTTTGGTTCTTCAAAATTCAAAAGATGTCTAATCTCATCTCAAACTACTTCAGGAACATTTGTCCAAGAAGCAACATTACCTCTAACACTAGCAAAGTGTTTTTTGAATCGGCTAATAACCCCATTGGTATTTTTTTCACAAAAATTACACCTTATACAATTTTTATCATTTGGTTTTGGATTATATCCATAATTCCAACCCGAATCACTTTTTTTAAGAGTAGTAGAAATAGATCTATGACAAGGACTTTGTTCTTATTTTTGTTTTACATAACTTAAAAATTGCTTAATCTCCTCTCTGACAGCTTCAGGAACATTTTTACAAGAGGTAACATCCCCTTAATACCAGCAAGATGTTTCTTAAACCGGTTTATGCCTCCTTTTCTATCTTTTTTACAAAAATTGTACCTAACGCATTTTTTGTCATTTAGATTCGGGTTGTATCCATATTTCCAATCCAGATCTCCACTCCGACTAACACCTAAAGAAGGCATCTCAAAATAAAGCAAGCAATCTAAAAAATGCACTTACTTTGGTTGCTTGAACTCCAAAACTTTGAGAAACACTTCGATGATTTGATAATTGATCTAATGAAATGTAGTTTTTTGGAGGTTCTTTTAAGTCTAAAGGGGCTTCTTGTGGGTTTAAGGTTCAAATGAACCTAAAAGCCATCATTCTTAACCTTTAAATATTTAAAAAAAAAAAAACATGTTTTCTGCCTCTGGGCGGGGCGCAAGCCCTGGGCAGCCACCCAGGGCTGGGCGCTACGTGGGTTCCGTACCGCCTAGGCGGCCGCCCAGGGACGGACCGCCTAGGCCTGGGCGATGCACCCAGGCCCTCTGGACCGCCTAGGCGCTGGGCGATCCGTTTATTAAATCAATGGTCTAAACCATGACCCACATGCGTGACATAGCTTCAAATAATTTAAATAATCTTCAAAGCAAAAAGCTCTGAAATAATTTTCAATACAATTGTGTAGGAGACCAACTCTTTTTCGTTTTCTGAGCTGTATCATCTAAATGGTTTACATGGGCATATTTGCTAAAAAAGTGGCATGAAAACTAGACCCAATAATTAACGCACAAAATTTATTATCAATTTCTTTTTATAGAGAGTGAAATTTATGATTGATTGCCCTACTACAATTGTAACCATCAGAATACAAAATCCCCATGGTTCCCTCCAAAATTTAAGTTTTGGACGTCTACTCCCCTTCCCTACCCCTTTTATATCCCCTCTGAAAGAAATATCTGCACCTTTTGTTTTAAACAAAATTTGAGCTCGTGCAGACTGATGAATGAGAAGAATCCAAAATTCTCTCATAGAGGGGGGAGACAAAAATCATTAGAGAGGAACAAGAGTTCAAACTCAATTTAGCCAGATTGATATCAGTAGAGAGAAAAGGAACGAGAACATCAAAGTTAAAGAGAGATTCCTAACCAGTTCATGCTTCACAAAGATACAAAGGAAAACAATAGCATCCATCACAAAGAAATAAAGGTCGCAAGCTAATTGAGATAGAGAAAGTGATTCACTAAAGAGGAAAAGTGGCAGTACCCCTAATTAAGATAGAGTAAGAGACCTACTAAAGAGGAACCTAATTGAGAAAGGCCCCGTTCTTGCCGCTTCCTTCACGCTTGGTCGTCCTTGACTTGATTTCTTCAGCGAGGGGAGGGATGGGATTAGGGCTTCTGCTCAGAGAGGTGCGGAGAAGGAAAGGAAAGTGCCAAGAGGGCGTGAGGGAAAGCAGGGAGAGGGAGAGAGAGAGTGAAAAATAGGGTTAGGGTTTCAATGTGCAGAGAGGTGAGGAGAGCGATGAGGGGGCGAGAGATGGAGATCAGAGGCGAATGAGGTGGAGCGAAGGAGATGCAGAGAGAGAGAGGGAGGACAAGGGAGAAGTGGAGGAGAGAGGGGAGAGCGTGAAATAGTAAAGTAGGCATTTCAATCGATCGCCACCATCCACTGACATCATTTAAAATGGACGGTCAGAGAGCAATGAGCGCTCAAAACGCTTCCCAACAGGCGAACGGCTTCCCCTGTGGTCTTGCCTTTTAGCTTGAAAATTTGAGCGCGTCTATTATGTTCCCGTGAGAGCATTCTGCGCATCTACTCCCTTGATCAAAACATATATTTAGAAGTGTTTTTTCAGTCTAAAATTTTAGAAACCACATAAAAATTACTAGATTATTATTTTTAAAATAAAAATTTAAATTTTGAATTTTGTCTCAGAACCAGCCCTTACAAAATTTAACAGTTTGAGTTTTGTCTCAGTGCTAACCCTTACAAAATTTAACAGATTCTATTCAATCTTGAGGCATTAGCCTTTCTAGTACACCTTGACAGGGGATCATAGGATCTAGTTTATCTTTTTTTGTCCAAGCATGGTGCATCTCACAAAGAGGTCCATTCTTTAGCACCATGTTCAGCCCACTTTGCACAGTGATTGTAACAATAATGTTACTTTTTTTGTTTTCATTTTTTTTATCTTTTTTGAAGTTGGGGTGGACTCAGGCAAGTTACTTGGATCCGTGTAACTCACCTCAGCCACGGTCCAAGTACCGTGGCTGAGGTGGTTGTTCTTACTAACAAGAGAGAAATAGCAAATAAGTTTTTGTCTTAATTTAATTATCCAATGAGAATAACACAAAAAAGGAAATTCATGTTTTCCTTTGATTGCAAAGAACCACAAGAAGCTGAACCATGTTGACCTTGACAGGGGATCATAAGATCTGGTTTATCTTTTTTTATCCAAGCATGGTGCATCTCACTAAGAGGTCCAGTCTTTAGTGCCATGTTCAGTCCACTTTGCGCAGTGATTGTGACAATCAAACTTGTTTGTTTCTTCATGAGCAGCTCTATCTAGGAAGGTAAGCCCTTGTAAACTTTCATGCTATATTTTGGCTTTTGATTACTTGTATTTCCCAAGTTTAATTCTCAAACATACTATTAGTATGGATGGTGCCATCATCGTAGTAGGCAGCCTACATGCTGTACTTTGGGGTAAAGCCAAAGATATTAACTGTAAAAAAGAGGCAACATTAAGAAGTCAAGAAGTTACAGAACCAAGAGATAGCAGATGTTTGATGCAGTGTTGGAGGGTTTTATGTGCATAATTTTGTTCCCTTCTGATGCATAACAAGATTGGATGGATTCAATATTTTTTATTCTTCTTAAATATTTGGGGCTTTAATTATTTCTTTATTTTTTTATGAATGTATTTGTATATTTATTTTATTAGGATCAGTTTTTAGAAATAGGATTATTAGGGATTTTTTTTTATTTAGTTAAGTCTAATTTCTTACGGAGTCTATTTTTAATTTAAATTAGTCGTTTTTTTAGGGATAAGTCTTGTAGTAAAGCCGTTTTTTTTACTTTTTCTTATATGCATTGGTTTAGAAAGGTTTTTTAGGGAGTGCAAAAAACTATATGTTAAGGACGTTGCTTATTGTTAAATAAGGGGCAAGTTTTAAGGAATTATATTTTGTAGGAAGGAAACTTTAAAAAGATCAAGGAGGCCTCATTGTAAGTTGGTTGTTTTTGGACGTAAATAAAAGTTAAGTTTTTACATATCGTGTAGAGAGAGAGAGTGGCCCTTTATGGGTTACTTTTTTTTTTTTTTTGTACTCTAGTTGTGCATGGTGAAGGATTCGGACTCCCACGTTTGTGCTTTCTTTTACAGATTTCTTTCAGTTTTTTATATCTCTTTAAAACATGGTTATCTTTGCCGGTAATTTTAAACTGCATCACCTTCACTATACCCTATTGTTATTGTTTGGGTGTGAGAAGCCAAACTGAATTTCACACAAATGCTGTGTAGTGGGTTTCATTTGGCCTTCAGGGCCCTATCTCAAAAGATCATATGCTTGGAAGAAAATGAATGTTTTGATAAAAGAGGGTCATCGCACTCTGATACCACAATGCAACAAGTCATAAGTTTTGTAATGACAATCCAAATTTTGAATTTGATGATGTTTTGTTTCATTTTGTTTCTCAATCTTCAATATTATGGAACGACCTTGTAGTCATGGTTTTAGAAAAAAAAGCATTTGGTACAAAAATTCCCTTCGGTCATCTAGATTTGTCTTCACTTTTGATGTAAAAAAGAAGCCTTGTTGTGAGAGCTTTGGATAACTCGTCTGTTGGATAGGGCTCAAAGTTATTCTTCTATCAACTCTAATTGATGCACATCACATGGGCACATATATATGCTATCTGATATTTACCTAAATTAATTTATAAAGCCATCTTTTCGGTTCAAAATTTATAGCCCTAACCAATGGTTTAAAAAGCGGATTGGTGACCCGGATTGAGCACCTCAAAAACCGATTCTCGATCCCGATCGGCGAATCGGCGATCCGGATCGAAAATCAGCTGAATCGGTCAGATTAAAGCTTCAAAAAAATCCGAAAAAATTATTAAAATTCATTATAAATATTGTTTTTTAGGAATTCAATAAGAAATGAGGGTACTCTATTAAGAATTTTTATTTCTTTGTATGAATATGCGAATATTGATATGTTCTTTTCCTGCATGAACTACTATTTATCATTTAATTTACATCACACAAAAGGATAAACATAGAATTATCATAGAATAAGTATATCAACATACATGGACTACAATAAAGCATACAATTAGTAACATACGATCTAAAAATGCCGCCATTTGCTTTCTTACATTATTAGGGACACTATTGCACGCAGAAACATCTCCCTTAACGCCTGCCAAGTGTTGCTTGAACCTATGTACGCCACTACTTATCACTCTTTGGCAGTAATTACAAATAGTTTTGTCTTTTTTGTTGGGTTCAAGTCTGACCCCATGTTGTCATGCAGGGTCTTCTACAGATCGTGCCATGGTTTAACTTTAAAAGGTAAAAGGTTAAAATTAACCTGACAGTTGAACATGAAAAATAATCACCATGTGTAGTGATAATATGTAGGGATAGTTCATGAAGTTATATTTGTTAGTTAATGCAAAATACTTTTATTGACAAAAATATTTTAATTCCGACTGAAAAAATAATTTATTTACGCAACATTATAGATAGAAATAGCTTATATCAGCCACTACATAAAGAACAATAAATTTACATTGATATAGTATCAATAAAAAATATATTTACAATGGCATAGTAATTCACAATGCCAATACATATGGACTTGTCACAATCTTCATTTCGACAAATATGAATTAGTTCCTACTGAGAAAATAAAAATATTTATGCAACATTATAGATAAAAAAAAAGTCTGTATAAGTCACACATGCCAAATATTCATACATCTCAATTACAAATATGCAAGATAATATAATAAAAAAAGCAAGCTCCAAACATGCCTACAACTTAATTATCAAGAACATGTATTTTTTGCATTAAAAATTTAATAATAAAATTGATAATTGCAAGCTAATGTAATTATCATACATGATATTTTACAATGATATTCACTTTAATTCCTCATGATAATACAGTTTAACAACATGTATTTTTTGCATTAAAAATGTAAAAAATTTAAAATACTTTTTTAATGTAAAATTGCATTAAAAATATAATACAGTTTAACAACATGTATTTGTTAATGTATTTTTTTGCATTAACAACAAATTAAGAAATACAATTTTGCATTAAAATATAACAACATGCCACGATTTTTTTACAATGATATTCACTTTAATTCCTCATGATAATACAGTTTAACAACATGTATTTTTTGTATTAAAAATTTTAAAAATTAAAAATACTTTTTTAATGTAAAACTGCATTAAAAATATAATACAGTTTAACAGCATGTATTTGTTAATGTATTTTTTTGCATTAACAACAAATTAAAAAATACAGTTTTGCATTAAAAATATAATAACATGTATTTTTTTGCATAAATAATCTATCAACATGTAATTTTTTGAACTAGAAATTTAACAATAAAAATTAAAATATTGTTTAATTCCTCATGATAATCAAAAACAATTTTTCGAAAAATCACGATTTCTCAAACAATTGATCATGAAAAAAAAACAAAAAAAAAACCCAGTTCTTCACAGACCAACCTAACATCAATCATTCCAACTCAAAAATCCATCTCAAATCAAATAAAGTACATCAAATTTAATACATGTTTTGATAAACAACACTATAAGAAATCAAAGCCCTATAATATTAACACATTATTATCAAAATATAAATAAAATCAATCAA